AGGAATTTGAGGTTACGCTGAACTATGAACAGGCCACTGCACTCCAGCCTGAGTGACAGAGCAAGATCCTGTCTCTAAAAAAAAAAAAGAGAGAGAGAGAGAAAAAAAGAAAAAAAAAAGAGCCAGGGACAGTAGCTCAGCCAGCACTTTGGAAGGGTGAAGCAGGAGGACTGCTGTAGACCAGCCTGGGCAACACAGTGAGACCCTGTCTCTACAAAAAATTTAAAAACTGGCTAGGCATGGCGGTGCACACCTGTAGTCCAGCTACTTGGGAGGCTGAGGTAGGAGGATCGCTTGAGCCTAGGAGTTAGAAGTTGCAGTGAGCTATGATCATGCCACTGCAGTCCAGCCTAGGTGACAGAGTGATAGCCTATCTCTAAAAGCAACCAAACAAAAAATCTCCCCAAGAATCAGACTTGCAGTTAAAAACCTTCACACAAAGAAAACTCCAGGCCCAGTTAACAGTACTGGTAATTCTACCAAACATTCAAGAAAGAAAATTGAAGAGGACAAAACACTTCCCAACTCATTACGAGGCAAGCATTACCCTGATACAAAAACCAGACAGAGACTACAAGAAAATTAGAGACCAACATACCTCATGAACATAGATATAAAAATTATAAACAAAATTTTAGCAAATCAAATTCAACAATACATAAGAGGGATAATACATTATTGTCAAGTGGGGTTTATCCTAGGAATACAGGGTTGGTTTAACATTCAAAAAACAGTGAGGTTTTGCCACATTAACCAATAACAAAAGAAAATCTGTATGGTCATCTCAACAGAAAAAAGCATTTGACAAATTCCAGCGACCACTCCAAATAAAAACTCGAGAAAATTAGGAATAGAAGGGAACTTCCCAAACTTGATAAAGGGCATGTATGAAAAACCTATAGCTAATATCATACTTAACGGTGAAAGACTGAATCCTTTCCCCCTAAGATGAGGAACAAGACAAAAATATCTGCTCTTAACACTTTTAGTCAGTCTTGTACTGGATGTCCTAGACCACAAAATAAGGCAATAAAAAGGAATAAGGAATCCAGATCAGAAAGGAAGATATAAAACTATCTTTACTTATAGACAACATGATTATCCATGTAGAAAACTCAAAGGAATCTGCAAAAAAAGTTACCAGCACTATTAATTGAGTTTAGCAAAGGTGTAAGATAAAAGCTCAACATATAAAAAAAAATCAACTGTATTACTATATACTAGCAATGAACAAGCAGATATTAAAAGAAAAATTTTTTAAATGCCATTTATAATAGCATCCAAAAATATGAAATATTTAGGGATAAATCTCAGCTCCAGTGCTGATGTGGGTGATGGGAAAAACATCAACTGGGCCAGGCATGGTAGCTCACGCCTGTAATCCTACCACTCAGGGAGGCCAAGACAGGAGGATTGCTTGAGTTCAAGACCAGCCTGAGAAGAGTGAGACCCCGTCTCTACCAAAAATAGGAAAAAAAAAAAAAAAAAAATTGGCTAGAGTTGGTGGTGCACACCTATAGTTCCAGCTACTCAGAAGGTTGAGGCAGGAGGATCGCTTGAGCCCAGGAGTTTGAGGTTGCAGTGAGCTGTGATGATGCCACCGTACTCTACCCAGGGCAACAGAACAAGACCGTGTTCCCCCCCCCCCAAAAAAATTATAAATGCTCAGCTGCA